CTGTTACATACTTTTACACAAAAACATTATACCCTGATTTCCCATTTTCAATGGGCTCAGGGTATAATAAAATTAAACACAGGAAAAATGAAAGCTGGCCTAATGACTAAACGGCACGCCCACATCTAGTTTGGTTTTGAGGTAGCAATATATTTATTTTAACCTCCAATTTAAGGGCGAACAAATTGATTTCGCAAATGAAGTTCAATGCGTTAGCAGCATTGACGCGAACCAGCGAGACGAGCTCAAAAATATATATAGTCATCACACACACACACACATATACACGCTCAAACACACTCAGACTTTATTATATATAAATATTGGTGAATGATTTGAACATTTTGTTAGCAATGCGTGATTAATGCATTACCAATAACACTGCAATTTAGGTTTGCCTATTGTTACGGCCGCGACTGTTGCTCAATCGGCTTTCAAATTGGAAATGGGTCAAGCCTGATGGACAGCGAGCGCGCTTCAGGGCCATTGTTGGCACAGCGGCAAGGTAGGCGCGCCAGGTGCCTCCAAGAACTGAGGCACAGGTGTCACGAAGAAAGGCCACTAGAAATCAAAAGTTAACTGCAATTAGTCAGAGCCGCAATCGCATTTAGTGCTCGCACCATCTTTGTATCTCTCCATCTACTTCCGCCAGCAAGCACGATACCAAAAATTAAAAATAAAAACTTTCTCAACTGGCCAAACGCTTAACGGCTTTTCGGCACTAGATGTATATGGAAATTCTGATTGGAGACCCAATCGGAGGTTGCCAACTAAGCGAGGCGTATGCCATTTTTTAAGCCAATTAACTGTAAATTTAAATAGCAACACACGCTGTGAAAATAGATAGCAAAGTGTTAAATTTTGTGTTTTTTTTATCTATTTAATTTAACGCCGCTTTTTGCTAAGTGCATCGAATGATTTATTAGTTTGATAAACTTTCAGCGAGTTATTATTATTGTTTTGTTTTGTTTTGTGGTGTTGGAGTTGGTGCTGTTGTTATTATTGTTGTCATGAATCAGTTTGCAAATAAGAAGAAGGAGAAGAATAAGCACAACATTTGACTTTCACATAGTCCAAATAAAATATCAAAATTGAAAACAAGACGTGAGTCAATCTGTGTTGTAGCCGCCAGACAGAAATCCAAAGACAGACAGCCAACAAGCACACACACACATGCGTTGCATAAGGTATGGTACGTGTATGGTATGTATCGTACGTGGATATGTCCGTGTGTATAAGTCAGCGACCCAAACAGACAGACGCCCACGCAACTTACGACTGAGCCGCAGACAAAAGTTTAACACAAAGCCAACTTTCTCAATGAATCTCGCATGCAGGAAAAACCACACAAAAAGGTATATATTATATATTATTATTATTATACCCTGTTTTTTGTTTTTTTTTTGTTTTTTAGTTTTATTTTGTGAATAGCAGGCCAATGTGAATGTACTCGATGTGAGTGCACATTCTTGAATGCAGCTCGCCTCTCTCCCATGCCAAGGGGTTGACCTCAACCAAACCCATGCAAAAATAATGTTAATAAAAATGTGCTCTGAAGCTCCGAGGAGGAACAGATGGGAAGGCATACTAGTAGATCTAGTGCTCGACTCGACTAAACAGCGCACAAGGATTCCATCAAAAAACAAGATTTGCCAAAACGATTGGCCAACTATAAAGACCCTCTCCCAATACTAGAGTACTCCAGATTCCCCTTGCTTATAGCATGAGGTTTGGCTTTTTGCCTAGTAGATTACTAAGTAATGCATAATTAGAGAGTTAAAATAGAATGAAAGTAATAATACTCAATTTATATCAGTATGGCAATATCAATGTACACATATACAATAATAATATATTCATTTACAGGTAATGCACTCACCTTGATGTTCGGCTGCTGCAACTGCAAGAAAGTGGCTACTCCATTGCGCACACGATTCTTGACGCCGCGCACGGTGCCCTTGGAGGAGCGAATGGTGGATGACTGCGAAAATCGGCGCACATCCTTGAGGCCGGCAAAGGCGTCCTCCTGCTCCAACTGCTGCTGCTGCTGGTCGACGTCGCCAGGCAAACTGAGGGATTCATACTCCGGCGACATGCGACTGCAACTTACTGGACCAAAACTCCGATAATTTGCATGCTCGTTCACGTGGAAGTTGTAGTACTGATCGGCCTCGTATTGCAGGGGGCGTCCATCGATTTTGGTTGCGATAACCGACTGATCTAAGTCGCTCATGGCACGCGCAGCATCCCTGTCCCGTATGTCGCGCAGCAGCGAGCTGGGCAGCAAAGCGCCCAGCTTGATTAACGGCACCGGCTCGTGCGAGTCGTGCAGCGAATCACAGCTGAGCGAGGAGCTGCTCTCGTCGCACTCCTCGCTGCTGTCCGTCAGGCTGTGGGCTCGAGAATGGTTGCCCGACTGGCCGCTCGAGGTGTTCACACGGATTCGCGTCGTCTTCAGGTGCAGTTCCAGCTTGGGCACGCCAGTGTTGCCCTTATTGCTGTTGCTCATGTTGCTCATGTTGTCCAGGTTGTCCAGGTTGTCCAGGTTGTCCAGGTTGCCCAGGTTGCCCAGATTGCTCATGTGGCTCATGTTGCTGGTGACATTAGTTTCACTGCTGGGCGACTTGATGATCTCCAGATCGCTGCCTGTGCCACTGTCCAAAGTCTCGCAGGGCGAATACTGTCCGCTGGAGACCAAATAGCATAGCTGATAGGGCGCTGTGACAGTTTGTGATTCTGTTTGTAATTGCTGCTGCTGCTGCTGCTGCTGTAGGGGTAAATGCAACTGCAACTGTTGCTGCTGCTCGTGATGCTCGAGTTGCTGTTGCTTGAGCCGTAATACCATGTCGCTATCGCTATGACTGTCGTTCAATTTGACCACGCTTATCTGCTTGCCCAGCCTGACTGGCTGACTTTGACTCGAATTCAAACCCTGACCGTTACCGTTGCCGTTGCCGCTGTCGTTGGCTATCTGAATCTTGACCGTGTGCTGAGGCGCACAGAGACCAACTGTTTCGGTCGATGCACCCGTTGGCCAATCGACTAGCGCTACCTGACTAGCATCGCCGTCTCTCTCAGCAGTTTCCCCAGATTGCAGCTGCTCAGCTGTCGCTCGTAACACGTTTCTAACGTCATCGGCAACATTGCAGCTGATAATGGTCGATGTTGGCGCCATTTCACTACCTCCAGCAGCATCGCTCGCTGGGTTAACCTCGGCCTCGCTCTCCGTCTGGCCAATGCGCAACAGCAACTGTGGATATAACTTTATTGCTGGCTCACTTGTTGCTGTTGCTGTTGCCGTTGTTGTTTCTGTTGCAGCTGCAGCTGCAGCTGTTGCTGCCACTGTGTTGCAACTGGTTTCTAAATTCACACTGCTCGCATGGTCAAACTGCGACGTCTGCAAATTGCTGTTGTTGCTGTTGCTGGTGTTGCTATTGTTGTTGTTGGTGCTGTCGCCAAATGCCAACAACATGGCTTGTGATTTTGGCGACATTTCATCGCATTCAATGTTGCTGCTTGCCGGCTTAGCTGGTTGCTCAGATGCAATTATTATCGAAATACCGCGCAACGGCCTTTGCTGTGGCTGCTGCTGCTGCTGCTGCTGCTGCTGCTGCTGCTGCTGCTGCTGCTGCTGCTG